GAAGATGTCTATTTTGTTGGGTGTGGCACAGATGAACCTCGGAATTATATTAAGTTACTTCAATGCACGTTTCTTCAACAATACGCTTGATATTAAGTACGTATTCCCTTTTCTTCTGTCCCCTTCCGTGTTGTGCAGACTCTCCAAAATGCTGCTGCACCCGTGTTGGATCCTCTAAAAATACACTACTTATGGAGGATCCGACACGTACCCAGTGACATTTTCGGAGAGTCAGAACAACATAGGTCCCCTTTTGATGGTTTTCTCGTTGAAGTTATTTATTCTTTTTTTTTGATTTGTTATCAGGTATCAGTTTGTGCCACAAGTGATCTTTCTCAACAGCCTTTTTGGATACCTGTCTCTCCTCATTGTTGTTAAATGGTGCACTGGATCTCAGGCGGATCTCTACCATGTTATGATTTATATGTTCCTAAGTCCTTTCGAGCCTCTTGGTGAAAACCAGTTGTTTTGGGGCCAGAGTGTGCTTCAGGTATGTGCCATCACATCTCATCTTGTGCTCTTACGGTTCATTTGATCTGCAGATGTGATATGGTAAGACTTTAATACCACCAGATTACATTGTAGGATATGATGCTAATTAATGGAATATGGATAAGATTGTAACGCTTGTGTCCCATGTTTCGTATCAAATCTGTGTGACAAATTTCCTTGGCCTAAATGCATTAAATAACTCATTGAATAAGGATTAATTTGAAAAGAAGAACAAGTTATGATAATGTATGATGTATCTCTGTATATTTGTTAAAGGCTATTCGACATTTATTAAAAGCAATACCAAAAAGAAAATAAAGAAAAGGTTGGTGGCAGTGTGTGGGTGGAAGGGGAGAGAGATATCTGTGGAGTAAAAAAACCATTTGATATCATAGGATAGCTTGTGTTCACTTCTCCCCTAGGGATAATGAACTTGTGGGGTGGGTTGTGGGGTGGGAGGATTTTATTATTTCATCCATTATCGAACTCTACATAGATAGTCAAACAATTGATTATCTTAGTATCCATAATCTCCTCTCACCCACAATCCATAAATGGAATAAACCCTTGAAAATCTCTCATCCCTTGCTTGTTTGTTTAACAATTATTATTGCAGGTAGTATTGCTGCTTTTAGCACTTGTTGCTGTTCCATGGATGCTTTTCCCAAAACCTTTTATTTTGAAGAGACTTTACACCGAGGTAAGTACATTTGGTTGCTTTTGGTTTCTCACTCTTCACAATGAATTGAATAATGTACTATCTTGATGATCCAGAGAAAGTATAAAGGAATGGATAACCAATTTTCTTTTAAAAGGGCACAAGTAACGGAATTAATGAGGATGTAATCTTGTTTTTCCTAAGAGGCAGTTTGTGGTCCTTGAGTGGAGGGAATTCTTTTGTAGAGAAGAGAGGTTGAAAATTTAGGGGTGCCAATGGGCGGATTGACTAAATTGAAACAAAACAAGTTGAGTCACTTNATATACCTACCTAACAAACCATAAAAAACCCATAAAAAAATAATGAGAGAAATACACCTAACAAACCAAACAAAAGAAATTGTTTTAATTTTTGACAGTTTTCTTATGGTTATTTGGGCTGCCTTATTATGATTCTCAGAGATTTCAAGGCGGAACTTATGGCCTTCTTGGAACATCCGAGGTGGATACTTATGAAGAACCAGACTCTGCGAGGCAACACCACCATGAGGAGTTCAATTTCAGTGAGGTTTTTGTGCATCAAATGATACACTCTATTGAGTTTGTTCTGGGTGCTGTCTCTAATACTGCATCATACCTTCGGCTGTGGGCTTTGAGGTATATCCATCATTTTTACTTGTTTTTTTTATTTTTTTATTAACAGCAACCTGTTTTATGTTTCTACCAAATTGATGTCTGTGATGTTGGTGCAGTTTGGCTCATTCTGAATTGTCTACTGTGTTCTATGAGAAAGTTCTCCTCCTTGCTTGGGGGTAAGATTCCACGACTTTTAGCTTTTTTGCTGTACAAAATTTCCTTGCTTAGACGTCGCTCAGTGTCTTCATGGACATTAATAGTAAAGTTCAAAGTTTATTTCTGTTAAAATGTCAAGTTGTTGAATCATGAATCTGGTGAATACATTTGGTTACTCAAATTTTCTTTGCAATAGTATGGATTTGAAGGTATAACATGTATTCCCTTGGAACTAGCTCAGTTCTCTTATGCAATGGCGCTATCTGTTTAGCAACATCTCATCCAAATTATTCATATTCTTATGCTGAAGTATTTTGGTAGACAAGATTATCTGCTTTCTTGTACTCATTGAAGGAAGTCGCAGAGGATAGGTAATAGTGGCATTTGTTTAGACTATGCTGAAAAGGGGAAGCATGAAAAATGGACGATGCGTCATTCGTACCATTAATAAAGCTAGTGTAATTACCACGGTCTCTGCTCAGGATCTGAATGCGTATTTGCTACCATGTTCCACTACAAACTTACAAATCCTAGGGGTATATTTGTTATTCTGCTTTGGTCTCTCTACTAAACGCCACTATCCAACTTTAACCCTTTATGTCCTGGATATATCTCTTTTCCATTTTGCCTAAAAATAGCTCTTTAAAATATTTTTCCACTTTGAATTATCGCAATATATGTATGCAAACAATTAAAAAATTGTCTAGACAATATGCACGGTCCTGTGCTATGCCATGATATTTGGTGCTTATATATTGCTATGATGCGTGGTGGCTGGATTACTGTATCAAGGTTCTTTATCTAGACAATATGCACGCTCCTGTATGTGTTTGAGGTACTTTTATGTATCAATAGGATGGGGTTGGCCTGGTGGCAATTGACTTGAGCCTTGGGGTTTACTCCCTTTCAAGGTCTCAAGTTCGAAACCCACTGGGTGCAAACAATTTCTGAGGGCTATCGGACTGGGTAAAACCTGAATTAACCGTGGTGCACTTGTAGGAAACTCCTTGCCGAGGGCCTGTGCACCCCCGGGATTAGCCGGGGCTCTAAGAGACTCGGACACCCGGTGCAAATAAAAAAAAATAAAAAAAATAGGAAGCACATTTATTCCCTGTTTGAGTACTAACTTGATTTGGAATCAAAAGGCTTTCTCATTCTTTTGGTACCTAAAACGAGATCTCTCTTCTACCATGATTTGATTGATATACAATTTTGTTGAAATCTTTTAATGTGAATGTTGTTGTGGCATTTTCTAAGGAAATGACATGACACTAAAGACCATATCAGTGTTTCCTTCTAGCCCTTGTATCTCTCTAATTTTTTTTTTCTTTTGGAAGGGGGGTGGGGCAAGTTGGGGGAGAATGGGGAGGGCAAGAGCACTTCGTCATGTGTACTGTGATGGTAGTAGTTTGTTGTATGCATCATAGCTAAAATATGGCTGTACAAATTGAATGTGTTGTTTAACATTTTGCCCTCGACATCATAGCTATCATATGTACCTGAGTGCTAGATGCTTAATAATCGCAGGTATGATAACCTGATCATACGGCTGATTGGGCTAGCAGTATTCGCCTTCGCCACAACCTTTATACTACTCATGATGGAGACTCTTAGCGCATTCCTTCATGCATTGCGTCTTCATTGGGTGGAATTCCAGAACAAGTTCTATCATGGCGATGGCTATAAGTTCAAGCCATTCTCTTTTGCTGCATTAGCAGATGATGAGGATTAGTACACAACCTTTATTTTCCCCTTTTTTCCCGGGAAACCGCAATGAAGAGGAGTTTTCCATATTCAGGGAAAATTGAAAAACCTTACAGGAATTTTGGAAGGATCCAATTTTGTCTGACTACTATTGCGCACTTTCTGTTGATGAAGCAGCTGGTTTTAGCATAGAATTGTAAAGTTGTGGCACACATAATCTTTCAGTATAGAGGTAACAAAAGGTCTCTGCTTGAGGAATAGTTAGCTGTTAAAGAAGAGATCTGTAAATTTTTCTTTATAAAATCTTTTACATATTGTTTCGCAAACACGAATAAGTTAATTGTAAAGAGGGAAGTCTTTATAGCATTTATCTTAAGGGTGTCTCATTCTTTTGTGGAGGCAAATTTACAGAATCAGCAAATGCCTGCTCCTTGTATACATTTTGTGAGTCTCTACAGATTGTTGTAATAATAGAATCATCTCTTTGAATTTCCTTTTTTGAATCGCCAAACTTTGATAAATGAAATGGTCATATTTAGTAAATTTGAATTAAATAACTAATGTAAGAGTTTTTCTATCTTTTACGGGATCAAACTTATTCTAACCTCGCTAATGAGGTTCATGACAAATTGAAATTTGCTGCTTGTGCTGTTAGATTATCATTTGATACTTCTTCAGAAACTAGATATCTGAATAATAAATTTGATGAATATTCATTTTTTACAGTCTAATTTAACCACCTCATGTCGAGTTTTTTTTTTCTTCAAAAAAGAGTAGGGGCACAATGGAAAATGACAGGAGGGTGCCACTTTTCTCGGGGCATTTGCATTTATACCCGTTTTTTGAGTTACGTTTTAACTTATATCCGCTTTGCAAAAAAAATTGCAAGCGTACCCACTTTTCGCGTAACTTCAGGCATACGGGCCTGAAGTAGCAAAAAATTTTGCAAGTGTAGCAAAACTTCAGATATTTTTGCATGAAGTTTGGCCTGACTTGCAAATGCAATCACGCAAACTTTAGTTCATAGTGCAAATGACAAACTTCAGTTCATGTGTTGGCTGAAGTTTTTGTTTGTAATTGCTGAACTAAAGCATTCTAGTAGCTGAAGTTTTGTTCTGTATTTGCTGAACTTTAGCATGTTTTAGCTAAAGTTTTATTCTATATTTGCTCAACTTCAGCATATTTTAGCTGAAGCTTTGTTATGTTTGTGATGAACTTCAGGGCTGATGTTTGTTTTGTATTTGCTAAACTTCAGCATTCTAGAAGCTGAAGTTTTTGTTTATATTTGCTGAATTTCAGCATTCTTAGGAGCTCTTACAATAAGGCTATACATCCACAAGAATATCAATAGTTTGGTCAATAGGCAAAAAAAAGGGCAGATTATAAAGAATAATAACCTGTTATAGATGAAGACAAAAATTACGTATAAACACTAATATTTTCCACCCAAAGACTCCAATCTTTGGTCACTATTTGAGAGCAAGCCATTTCAATGGTANATAACATGTAATAGATGAAGACAAAAATTACGTATAAACACTAATATTTTCCACCCAAAGACTCCAATCTTTGGTCACTATTTGAGAGCAAGCCATTTCAATGGTATTATGCCTATGGGTTGTATTATAGGTAGATAGAGACAAGAGAACTTTTGAGTTAAAAATTCATAAACAGTAGTATTGTTGAACGTTGGCAGTATTGTAATTACTGGACATAGCAGCACCAACAGCAGCAGAAAGTTCATCCATCTGAGCTGAAGTTTCATAGCAGCACCAACAACAGCAGAAGAAAGAAGAAGAAGAAGAAGAAGAAGAAGAAGAAGAAGAAGGAGAAAAGTAAACAAGGAGGAGAAAGAGCGCTGCAATTGTTTAAAAAGTGGGTACAAGTTAAAACTTTTAAAAAAAAATAGGTATAAGTTAAATGAGGGCAATCAAATAAGGCGCCCGTGCAATCTTTACATTTTTCTCTCTCTACACAAGTTTGTTTCTGAGAAATAAATTGAGCAATATACAAAATTGATTGGTTGGCCAAAACGAATCGCATTTGTGAACCAAAAAAGTGTGGGTATATATACATATTTTATTGGTTATTATTTTTCGGAGCGATTAAAAATATATATTTCTCAAATAAATTTATCAATTCACTCTATCTTTTGACTTAAGGATTCTTGAATTAAACGTTTGTAGATGAGACATAGACACGTGATTAATTTGTAAATGGATTTATGATTAACAAATCTGTAGATCGCCGATGTACTTCCCTTTTCTTTCTAAAAGGACGTTTTCCCCAAAATGTTCGAAACTGATACTCTCTATGACGTTTTACCACTTTTCCAATGTGAGGAACTTTTAGGGAGTTCAGACTATTTGCCTAAAATCTCATTCTTTATTACGATTTGCATATTTGGACTCTCTAAATTTTTTACTTAATTTGAATAATCACAACTTCGTTGATATAGAATATAGAGCACAATAGAAGACAAATTTATGAAGGTGATAGTAATTAGTTGTGATTAAGTTTCATTAATGTTGGTACATTATTTTAGGTCCAATATTGTTAGGAGTGTTAAGATTTACATACCGATTTTAAAATGTAGCTTCTAGTGTTAGAAGCATCTTATATTGGAGAACTTGAAAAATAATGATTCATTTAGCGGACACTAATGACCTTTAATTTGCTTAGGATTAAAATGTTACTTGAGGTACTAGTCTACTACATGAAAAATTACGAAATACGAAATAAAAACAAATGGTAAAACTGTATAGGCCGAAATCTGTCTCAGAATATTTAGGGCAAAGTAACATCGAGGAAAGAGTCAGTCGAGGTCGACCAGGAAACAACGACTCGTGATCAAAGTGCCAACAATGGTCGAGGTCAAGCATCACAGAAAGAGTTGCAACGACTACTTTTTAGAATAGGATATTAAGAGAATATTCCATTGGATATTCTCTACACTTGCCCTATTAAGGTTTGTTGGGGATATTTCCCATATAAATAGGAAAAAAGATAATGAATAAGGGCATGTGACATCCATTTGATAAGAACATACTTTTGATAAAAGATTCTCCCTCTCTTGTAAAGATACAAACATTACCTTTTCATCAAGATTCTTGTTCACACATTTCCCCAATTTTTCATCAGATCCGAGAATAATTCGAACATTCTAGGATTTGTCTGTCACTCATCATTGTCAAGAGGAACAATCATCTAGTTCATCATTTATTGGGTGAACCACTTCTCCTATTTACTTAAATGTCATTTATTTTTATTTATTGTTAGTTGTTCCTCCATTATTGCTCATACTTTTTGGAATATTTAATGCATGTTGTAAATCCACAATCAGTTCTGTTTAGTGTTGGCCACATTTTCGGAAATCATATCTAGAGATATTATTATTAACTAAGTTTAACCCATCGCTATATAAATACAATTGTTTTAACTGAAAGTTACGCTTTTTGGTCAAACAATTTGGCGCCGTCTATGGGGATTTCCTAGTTAAATTTTTAGTTTCCTCTAGATCTATAACTAACAAGGATCGCTAACGTAAAAAAAAAAAAGCAAGAATAAGATCTCCTTTCTTTGTATGCACATATCTAATATGGCAGGTAACAGAGAAGAAAGGACGAGAATAATAAGTAACCTCCCAACCAACCTCATGAACATCATCAATGAGAGTTGTGAAATAGCAGACGAAGACGCAACGCCAAATGCCTTCCCTAGGCGAGATGGGTCACCCCTTCCTCACTGCAGCATCACAAAATCTCTTGGTAAGGGAGCCTCCACATCTGTGGTGGAGGAGACGCCACCAGTTGTAAAAAAGCTCCTTGAGACTTGGCTAACTGATACGCTAACTAGTGTCCTCCATAAGCCTGCTCGGGACACAGTTACAGAAAGCACGAGGAATTGCATTATACAAACAGGCGACAAGCGGTGATCGGTTCCAAACCTGCACTACTATAGAGTAGCAAGGATGATCGATGCAGTTTTACCCAATAAAGGTCGGGATCGAATCCACAGGGAGTTATTGAGTTTGGAGTTAGTTTTATATCCGAGTAGAGATGCGAGTTTTGCTCTTAATTGTACTTCCACAAATGGTTAGTTTTGTCATCTACATCTACTTCTACTTCTATAGCATGCAATAGTTAAAGCTAAGTACAATATTTTTGTTGGTTGTTTTCAAGGACTAAAAGGGACTAAGGTAGCGACTTTCAACTAGGTGGATATCTAACGGGGTATCGAGAATTCAGGGCAAGCTTGTTATGATTGGGATCGTGATATAACCATCACACATAAGTGCTTACTCTATACCTCTCGGTAGTTTGAGTGACTTTTCCCTATTTGAATTTTTTAAGTCCAAATGAGTGTTCATGCATAACAAATGATATTGACTCAAGTCGGGTATTACTATATCTAGGTTTAACCCGTTAATTTGGGCTATCAATCTCTTGAATGCACCCCAATCCCTTGTTAGCCTAATTTTTCTAGACTTAGTCCCTCTTTATCAAGAAGAGTCTAAGTCATAAAGGCACGAATCAGTGTTTGCAACCACCAATTCTATAATTAAAGCACGAATCAGGCAAAATATTACTAACCCATAAACAATTAAGCCCTAAAACTCAAGACCCATTAAATATCCATACTATGGTTGTGTCACAACCCTATCTATGTATAGCTGCTCATGAAACTAGCAGAAAGCAAAGCTGAAGATGGAATATAAGCCATAATATTCAAATACAAGATGAAAATCTAAAGATTGAAGATGAATCTACTCTAAAATTACTCAAAAAAGTAAAAACCAGCCGTTCACGTGTTCTTCTAAACAAAACTTAATCTAAAAATATGAAAAAGATCTATTTATACTAGGCTGAAATTCCCGGACTAAAATGCCCCTGCGGAGAATTCGCGGATGCGTAATTCTGACCGCCTCCGCGTTTGAACTTTCCCGGCCACGCAATATCGAGCTCGGTCCGCGTTTTTTCAGTTTGAGCTTGGGTTGGACTTGGTTTTGTGGACAACGTAATTTCATCCGCGTCCGCGTGTGCTTCCATCGCAACCGCGTAATTTGGACGCGGACCGCGTTCTTCTATTAAGCATGACTTGCAGGGTCTCTGAACTTCAATCACCGCTCTCAGCGAAAATACCACCGCAGCCGCGCTTTTCCATCGCGGTCAGCGGTAGAACTTGTGCTCAATTAGCTTCTCTAAACTTTACTTTCACAGGCCACATATTTGTGGACACCTCAGCGGTGGTCCTCCCATGGCCGCATATTTTGTCCGCTCTCCGCGCTCCAGTTCCCGGTCTTTAGTCTATGCAAGTTTACTCCTTCATGAGTTTATTTTGGCTTCTTTGCCTCATTTTGACCAAACCCTGCAAGTAAGAACACTAAATTAGTTTTCGAGAATACTTTTACACATTTTTAACCCAAAACCTAAGCAAAAGAGAGCACAAAATAGGTTAAAATCCATAGTTATCAAGCGGTCCAACCAATTCCCT